TTTTCAATCAAATTCCAGCCGCAGGAACAGGAGTGTGCTATGGAACTCTTGGTGACAATTTACCGTCCTCTCAAGAAGTCGTAGACCTTTTCATACAGAACAACATTCCGAGCATGCGGATCTACAATCAGAATCCATCGGCTCTCCAAGCCCTAGGAGGATCCAACATCGAGGTTGTCGTCGGCGTCGCGAACGAGGACCTGCAAGGAATCGGCGCAAGCCAGGACAGCGCAAACGGGTGGGTCCAAGCCAACATACTGAGCCACGGCAACGTCAAGTTCAAGTACATTACGGTCGGCAACGAGATCCAACCGTCCGACCCGGCCGCAAATTCCCTTGTCGCTGCCATGCGGAACATCTGGACCGCAATCGCCAACGCTGGCCTCGGGGGCCAGATCAAGGTCTCCACCTCGGTCGACACCGGAGTGCTCGATGTGTCCTATCCTCCGTCGAGCGGCACGTTCAAGTCGGACCGCATGTGGCTTCTCGGCCCAATCATCAGCTTCTTAGTAGAGACCCAAGCCCCTTTGCTAGTTAACATATACCCTTATTTTAGCTACATCTCCAACCCGCAAGACATACAACCTGACTATGCCCTATTCGCGTCCCCCTCGGTCGTGGTACAGGACGGGTCAATGGGGTACCAAAATCTATTCGACGCGATGTTGGATGCGGTCTATTCCGCGCTCGAGAGGGCCGACGGCGGGTCGGTGAGAGTCGTGGTCTCGGAAACCGGGTGGCCCTCCGACGGAGGAACGGCGACTTCGGTCGACAACGCAAGGACTTACAACACGAATTTGGTCAGTCATGTGAAGGGAGGGACCCCGAAGAGGCCCGACCAGCCGATCGAGACGTACATCTTCGCCATGTTCGATGAGAATCAGAAGAGCCCGGATTTGGAGAAATTTTGGGGGCTCTTCCATCCGGACAAGCAGCCCAAGTATCCCATCACTCTTAACTAGGACGATCTTGTAATAAAGGAGCGAACCACAACATAAACATGTTTTGCTCCGTATACGAAAGCGAAAGGAAAAGTTACTTTTGTAGTAACTCCCTATCCATTTACAAAAGTCACTAAAACACTCGTGAAAGACTATAAAGCATCATTCTTTTTCTTACTTCATTGTCTTTATTTAACTTCGTATTGCAGTCCTATTGCCTTTTGAGTCGATTAGTTTTGTGCAGAAATCAAATTGAAATTCATGTTAGTCGGAATTAGTAAGCCACCCCCGTCGAGATGGGGTTTGTCTTGTGGATACTGGATTGGCCCGAATAAATGATGGAGCCCCGAGAGTCATTTGTGATTGATACGAAAGTGGGCATCTTGAAAAATGAGTCACGATGTAGCTGAAATTTTAAAATTTAATGCCCGTGAAGTGGATGTTTGCGTACGACCAAAAAAAAAAAAAAAGAAGTGGATCTTTGTGATATTTTGATATTTTGTTCTGGTGAATCGAACTATCTAACCTAATAAGATCATGATGCATCATCTATGCATCAGACAAAAAGGTTTGGAAGTTTTAGGTGGAAAATTAGTTTTTTCTCTTCCTTCCGTTTTCAAGTCGTTAAAATATGTCTCGAATTTTGACCAACGACTCGAGCGGGATTTAAAGTGTGGAGATGTGGCCGAACCACGTAGATCAACGGAAGGAAGAATAAAATGTGGTGCCACTTTTTAGATGCTAACAAGGTTGCTTAGGGATTCACCCGAAAAGGGATAAAGGGGCTACTGAGATTTTCCTTTTTGGCAGATGACCTTAAAATGCCCTTCTTTTCTTTTCCTTTAAAAAATATTCCGCGCCTTTGATTGGTGCATTATAACCATAGACATCACCCGCATTTATTTTTGATTAAATCACATGATTGATTTTCATATTTGTAAGCCACCGATTAGGAGTCCGGTAGGATAAAATGTCCTCCAATCAAAGATAGAGGAAAACACTGTCCTTTTCAAATTTACGTTCGCTTGAAAGTTCGCAAAGAGAAGGTGACACATTGATTGAAGTCTTGAAAATCATTGAGTTCCTTCTGGAGTTCGATCTGCCGATACTCTTGAATGAATGATAGTCACACGATTCGTCTCGTGCCTATGTACCCCGATTCCCTCTTTGTCTAGCTCAAAATTTTAACATACGAAATTGTACAGTATTGACACGATATTTTTACTAGCGACCTCGAGGTCTTGAACACATGGTTAGTATTGAGGCGCAGAATTAACCGGTTGGAACCCATCATGCCAAAGCAACTGGGCCAAGCCACAGACCTGGGTGCCGAGATTAGTAAGTTGATCTCTGCATATCACAAAACAAGAAGCCTTCAAGGTTCTACTTTAACAAAACTCTCTTATGCTTAAGTTAGTAGGGGAAAATCAAGAATCTTGAGAGTGAAGAAATAAGCTAAAAAGGCAAGAAAGGAGGCCATGAAAGACATTCCCACCGTTATCTATAGACAGTGTCTCTCCCAAGCTTGCCCCTCACGAAGCACTTCCGGCGGGCTTTTTGAAACCTTTGGCTTCTCAAGCCCTATAAGGTCAGTCACAACATCATACGAGATGTTGGGACGCATAATAGAAATATGATACTTTCACTTAGAAAGATAAAAAACTAAGATGTTCAACTTTGAGCCCGTTAACATATTTAGTTGGACTCGCCTTTACTCAAAAACTTAAGCTCACCAGTTGTGGCCCAACTATGATCTACTAATTGTTTCACATTCCCAATTTGAGACTTTTGTCGCCTAACACCCTCACACCGTCACACGTGCACCTTAACAATTCTCCCTTTCACACGTGAGCCACTTGCGTTAGGCCTACTCTCCTTTAGTCTAGGTATACTTCCACATCAACGTTATCTCAACTCTAGAGTCTCCACCTTGGCTCAGCCGAGTTTGGCAGATGTTGGTGAAGAAAACATCTGCCCTTCAGACTCCATCTCAATTGCCTTGGCCTAGCTAAGCCTGACAAAATCCAGGGAACACCATCTGCCACCTCGATTACGGATTTACATCCAAGACTTTGCTTAAAATATTGATCAGACACCGATACGCATTGGGAATTATCATCAATCAATCATCGGCTCTAACATCATTTGTTGGATTGACACAACAAAAATCGGATAAATATACTCGGGGAGATTGCAAAGAGAGAGTCTAAGTTCAAGCTCATTAATATATGGGATTGAGCAACCTTCACTTAAAAGCCCTAATCAATAAATTATGGGCCAATATTTAATTGCTCCACATTACAACATCACTTATGTGAGACTTCTTTCGTCTAACACCTCATACATGCATCTTAACACAATATAATATAATAACGGCAAAAGGACACTAGAAGTGCCACAACTTATGTACGGAGATCACTTTGGTGCTATAACTTTTTTTCGGAACACTTTGATGCCAACTTTTTTGAAAAACGATAATTTTAGTGTCAATGCTGACGTGGCTCACCGGAAATCCGATGTAGCTCTAACATGGCTCGCCAGAGAGGTTCACGGCTCGCCGGAGAGGTCCAGTTAGCATTAAAAACCAAAAAACGACGTCGTTTAGCCCGCTGACGTATACTTTTTTAGAAATTTTTTTTTAAAATTATATAGAAAAAAAAAAAAACGTTGCAGCAGCGGCGAGGGAGCCCTCGCCGCTGCTGCCGCCAACCCACCACCGCCGGGAAGGGCCGGCGGTGATGGGCGGAGTGATCGGTAAGGGTCGCCGGCCCCTGGCCGGGGCCTAGCGACCCTCGCCGAGACCCAGCGAGGGCCGGATCCGGCGAGGCGAGACCTCGCCGTCACGACCTAGGCGACGGCGAGGTCTCGCCTCGCCCAAGCAAGGCGAGCCGACCTCCCGTCGCGACCAAGCACGGCGGTCTCGCCTCGCCCACAAGCGGCGAGACCTCGCCGTCCGCTGGTCGCGACGGCGAGGTCGGCCTCGCCTTGTTGGGCGAGATGAGACCTCGCCGTGCGACCCGGACGGCGAGGTCTCGCCTCGCCTTGGGGCGAGAGCAGGCGAGACCTCACGTCGCGTCGCTTGCCTCGCTGGCAAAGGCGAGGCCGACCTCGCCGGATCCGGCCCTCGCCGACTACTCCGCCCACCACCGCCGGCCCTTCCCAGCGGTGGTGGGTTGGTGGCAGCAGCGGCGAGGGCTCTCTCGCCGCTGCTGCAACGTTTTTTTTTTTTTTAATCAAAAAATTAAAAAATTCGAAAAAGGGCACCTAATTTTCACGTGTACAAGTTAGACCATTTTTTTTTAATATAAATGCCAGGTCAGCTTTTTGGCCGGAGTCACTAAAGTGATCTATTTTCCTCCGACTTGGCACCAAAGTGATTCGAAAAAAAGTTATGGCACCAAAGTGATCTCCGTACACAAGTTATGGCACTTCTGGTGTCCTTTTGCCGTATAATAACATTGGACTTATTCCGGCTCGGTCTAGATCGGCCCATTTGAGGGATCCACTTTTCTCAGGTTCACAACCACATGGAAGGTTTGTCTGAAAGATCGATGGGCCCGATCCATTACTCCGAAGCCGTCCCCTACCCGGTGCAGCCCTGCGAGGGCCTGGGCAAATAAAGAAGGCGCTAATTATAATCACCCTCATCAGCAAGTCATCCTTGCATCCAAACGGCATCTCATCACGCACCCACAACTCGAACCGAACCGAACCAACCCGAACCCTTTATTCGGTACGTGTTCCATGTAGTTTGGGTCTCGGGTCGGTTCACAAAAACACGTTTTCTTCTATTTCCGGATGAGGTCGGGTATCAACGGAGGCCCCGGCCATTGACACCCCCATGTCTGCTTGGTTAATTGGTTCCGGAATTGATCATCTTCACGGGAGGAAAAAGAGCAGAGAGACTTTTCAAAGCTGTCCTATTCCAATCTCGAGACACAAACCTACAGTCAGTTATGCATTTAATTGCGGGGAACTATTTTCCGACTTAACTGTTGGCAAAACGTTGATTGCATTACGGTGGAACCACCCCACCCCACCTTATAAATCCACGTCCAACTTCCAAAGTGATGGCAAAACTGCACCTCTCATTTTTTCGTGCTATCTTTATAGTTTTTTTCGCCAATGGCAAAATCTTCCCCCTCTGCTGCAAACTCTCTCTCCATTCCTTCGATGCTGCTCCTTGCTCTACTGATGTTTACAGGCCTGCACAGGACAGGTGAAGTGCTATCTTGTGCATGTGACGGTTTCCTCATGCTGATTTTTCAAGATGAGGCTGGCATTGATGTTCCTTTGTATAGCTGGTGTTAACTTGATACTTCTATATGTTTTTGTTGACATAATCTTTTGCATTGCTAATTGTTAGATATGCTAATTTTCTTACCTGGACACTACATGTTTCTTGCTTCTAAATCGTGCCAAGATGTTCTAAATTTTATTGAATGAGTATACACGAAATAATAGGAGATGTTAAATCCGAGAGAAAATTAAGTTTCTATTCGTGTATATAATTAAAAGAGTGGTTGTACTACAGTTTTTTTAATGGTAGCACTACTGTGAAATGTTACTATTGTCGTGTTTGATAATACATATTTTAAAGTTGTTGCATCTTAAAGTTAAGTGATAAGATTTTCCTGTAAATTGTTGCAATTACGAGGGTATTGTAGCTATGAAAAATTTGTCAATCACCTCATAAAAATCGCACCGTCCATTTCACCACTGTAATTGCCGTAGGAGAGCTGACGGATCTAAAGATATTGATGTGACTTTTGTGCACCATCTCAGTCCAAATTAATTTGGTTCAATTTTATGACTAGTACATGGGTAATGACCCATGCATGTGCATGTGCATGTGCATCATCGAATGCATGTGATGTGGAGTATTGATTAGAGGTCCCCTACAAAGAACATCGAAAAATGTCATTGACACCAATTTTTCATTGTTAATCCAGGAATAAAAAAAAAGTTATGTTTCTTCTCATCTCCTAATAGAACATCAACAATCATTAACGATCTTAATTTCAACTAATCCCAGCTGCCCAGACAGGAGTTTGCTATGGGATGCTTGGCAACAATCTACCATCTGCGCAAGAAGTTGTGGCCATGTACAAGCAGAACAACATCCCAACCATGCGCATCTACGACCCAAATTCGCAAGCTCTTCAAGCCCTTGGAGGGTCTAACATCGAGCTCATGCTAGGCCTCCCCAACTCCGACCTCCAAAGCATCGCCTCGAGCCAGGCCAATGCAAACACATGGGTCCAGAACAACATCAAGAGCCACGGCAATGTCCGGTTCAAGTACGTCGCGGTCGGCAACGAGGTGAAGCCCTCCGACCCGTTCGCGCAGTTCCTCGTCCCCGCCATGCGCAACGTCCGGACTGCGATCACCAACGCCGGCCTCGGGAGTCAGATCAAGGTCTCCACCGCGATCGACACGGGCGTGCTCGGCGAGTCCTATCCTCCCTCAAGAGGCGCGTTTAAGTCCGACAACATGCCTCTCCTCAGCCCCATCATCGGCTTCTTGGTCGAGACCCAAGCCCCCTTGCTGCTGAACTTGTATCCTTACTTCAGCTACGTCGGCAACCCTAGAGACATCAGATTGGACTACGCACTATTCACGGCGCCCTCGGTGGTGTTCATGGACGGGGCGTTGGGATACAGAAATCTCTTCGACGCAATACTGGACGCAGTCTACTCCGCGCTCGAGAAGGCCAATGGTGGCTCGCTAAAGATCGTCGTATCAGAGACCGGGTGGCCTTCGGCAGGAGGAGGGCAGGCGACGTCCCTCGACAACGCGAGGACTTACAACACCAATTTGGCCAAGCACGTCAAGGGAGGGACCCCGAAGAGGCCCGCCGGGCCGATCGAGACGTACGTGTTCGCCATGTTCGACGAGAATCAGAAGAGCCCCGAGTATGAGAAGTACTGGGGGCTTTTCCTGCCGAACAAGCAGCCTAAGTACTCGATCAGTCTTAATTAGGAGAGGATCTTGTTATGTGCTATTAGGGGGTGCAATAAGGGCATGCTATTACCCCATGAGAATAAAAGGAGCATTGCAAGTCGAATCGATTTACGTACTTCAATAAAAGTATGGGGAAGGAATTAATCCTCTGTTTCAATGATGATTTCTTTCTTTATTTTGACCATTTACTGGTGTCGATAGTACTTGGCTCAATTTTCACGCGTCAGAGTAAGTTCACCTTAACTTAATTTCGATCGACTCTGATAATTACATCGTGTCATTGAGATGGATGTATACGTTTGTGGAAATGTGGAAGGGGTGGCAATAGGAATTTCTAGAGTTCTAGTAGCAATGCTTATGACGTGAATATTTTCACAAGAAAAAAATACTAAAAATTCCATTTGAGTCCTAAAATTTTGATTCTCGTTATATAGGTCCTAAAAGCTTTCCAAATTCATTCGTCGGAGTCTCATGATGAGATACTCTACTAGTAACAGCTTACCTTTTCTCAAAAAATTCGTGGATCCGACTAAGTCCCGCTAAAAATCACAAGTTATCGTCGTACAGTATTTTTCATTGTAATTGATTCCATTTAACTACAGCACCTATCGACTCGATCAATATAACATTTTATCAACATGTGGCATATAATCCCATCAGAAATGGCATTAGCAGCAACTCGCCCTTCTAGGTAGTTTCTATGGCGGTCTAACGGTAGCAGACGCAGTACTTCTCTAATAATGCTCAAGGAGTTGTAGAAGTTGCAGAAGTTGCTCGTCCCTTCCCACCTTTTTTTCTCTCTTAAGAAAAAAAGAAAGTAATTACGAATCTCAAAGGAGGTTGCAACCCTCTATCAAGCATGCTTGTTTCTGGTCCTAATCCATTAGGAGAATCCAACACCATGCTTAGTTAGATATCCAGGACATTGATTTCGAAAAGGCATCGGTAATGATTAATGATCGGAAAAATAACACAAATAGTTCCTCAATTTTTGCCCAATTTACAATGTGATCTCTGAACTTTTAATTTGTTCAATGTGATCATTGAACTTTAACCCAATGTGCAATGTGGTCCCCAAACTTTTAATTTATTCGATATCGTCCCTGAACTTGAATTAATGGAAGAACAATATTGAACATTTTCATACAATTCAGAGACTAAATTGAATATAAATCAAAAGTCCAGGGATCACGTTAAATAAATTAAAAGTTCATGAACTACATTGCACATTGGACCAAATTTCAGGGATTATTTATGTTATTATCCCTTAATGCTTCTAGCCAAAGTGAATGCCAAACACTGCTTCAGGGGCTTGCTCTGTTCACAGCTCCTTTGTGCCCTCGAGAAGGCTGATGGTGGGCTCGCTACAAATAGTCAGTCACCAGAAGTGGCCATGGCCTTGGGATGGTGGAAGGCCGTCAATCTACAGTGCAAGAACTTATAAACACGAATCCAGTTGCAGATGTGAAGAGGAGGAACTCCAATGGACCCTTGAAGGGCCTGTAGATATTAAATAAGAACGTCTTCCAAATGTTGGATGAGATTCAAAAAGAAACCGGGTGCAAGAAGTTTGACGTTAAGAACTCAATTTGCAGTGTTTGTGTTGAGGAACTTCGTTACTGAAGGTCTGGACGTGATCTTCATCTTCGAGCTGCGCATAAGCCGATAGTCCACGGAGACAAAAAGTTTTTTCCATGTCAGGCTCTTGCCAGCTCCGACGAACATGCAGCTCCAATTTGTCAAATTTGGAGCTGAAGGGATGATTACGAAAGTTATGAAAGTTAAAGGATTTGATCAGACGAATTAAAAGTTCAAGACTTAGATTGGAAAAATGCGCAAGTCCAGGGACTAAAGTTGGACTTTCACCGACAAAAGAACAGCACAATGTCCATTCGATCAAGAGGAAAGTTGTTGTAACAGGGCAAAGAAAGAAACCAAAATTACACAACTGGTATCTTGAAAGGAAACTATCCAACCCAAACCCACTCTTTGCTGCAGGGGATGCTCTTCCAAAAAAGCCAAAAAGGAAAAAAGAACAAAAAAGGCAAAGCTCAAACAGATGCAATGACAACTACAAGCACCCTTTTAAAACCAGCACCAAAATAAACAAAAAGCATTGGCAATTACCAACTGATGGATTATGTACTCAAAAAATATTCCACACATCCGTGGCAAGAGAAGACACCGAGTAAATTAGTTTCGATCTTGTGTGGCCTCGGTGATAGGTGAAGCACGGGTTTGGAGTTCTGACAGGTCAGTATCGACGACTGGTGCCTTCTGATACTCTTCGAGAAGTCGCGATGCTCCTATTTGTGCTCCCGTAGTCTCCATTATTGAAAGAGTATGAAAGAGAGAGTCCATTATTACAGAGCAAACTCTGATCATGCGTTGTATCAAAGTATCCAACTCGCTGCTTTGGCGTGCTCAAGGACCTGGCTTTTGCCTTTGCAGATTCGGTGATCGCCATGTAAGTAGGAAAAACTGGTGAACTAGGAACGGTGCCATCGTCCGTGATTGATAACTGTTTCACATGACCGAACGATCTCCTTGGTAGAGAAGGAATGTTCAGCAGTTCGCTTAAATCCTTGTCTCGAGTGCTTCCCAGCTTCTCTCGTCTAATTTCGCGTCTTTTGCCACTATTTGCATCTGAATGCGTAATGGGCATTGAAGTCTGTAGTCTCTCATCTGTGTAAGCATCTGAGTCAGGCCACGGCTCTAGGCGGCAGCTCCACCTCCCATAGTCCTTGGTCCATTGAAATTCTTCCGGAACTTGAGGACTTCGTCCTTCCTGAGAAAATGCAAAAGCTCCAATGAAGGAAATAATTAGGTCCATCCACTGAATTATATTCGGGTTATTAGGATTTGAGCTAGTACAAATGTCTTTGTCCATAAGAATGAGAGTTGTGACTGCATGGAAATACCCGGTGGGAGTATGAAAATTTCTTCATACGCTCTCTTTTGCTCATTGCGTCTTGCTTCCTCAGCAGATTGGCTTCAAGGTCTGCCTTTGAGTATGTGCTGCAGTTCCAACCCCTCTGGCTGGGGCAATCGAGCTGCTCGACGCAAGGACAATGTTTCCAGTAGTATTAGCCTTATAAAATTAGAAGTACTATTTAATAACTACTGGACATCAATCTACGGTTTATGGGACAAAATTACAAATGATGATTCAAGGGGTAAAAAGCAGTGTGGAAAAGTAGATTTGGATGCCACAAATCTCATCTACCTTTGTTTCCATTTCCGCCTGTTCTCTTCTGGGCTTGGAGAGATCTTTCTTTTCACGAACTTCACAGCCTCCAATTCTCGATGCACTCCTTTGCAGGGCAGATGGCTGCATACTCGCACTGGAGGGAGGCAAACACTTCAATGTGGCAACTCTTTGGCGTCTGACAGCTCTGCCACGGGCAATAGCTTGTAGCCTCACCAGTCCTTTCAGTGCACGGAATGCCTTCCTCGCCTGTTTGAACTCTCGACGAGCAAGATTGTCAGAATAACAAATTCATGTTCATTTTAAATGAAATAAAAATCGATGCCACGAATTAAGCTGGCACGTGTCTTATGATACTCATCCGAGGAAATTCCACAATGCTTCTAGATTCTCCATAAGAATCATTAGATAATAACAGATGGCTGCAAAATTTGTTAAGTTCATTAGATATGGCCAAATGGTAGCAAACAAGGTTCAAAGAATTGAAACAAATGTTCAATTGTTTCAATTTCTACATTGGTGTCTCTACGCAGATTTGAGGAATAGAAGCCAAGACGACATAAAGAATCGTACTAATTCTCAGGAGCATTTTATTGAGTACTGAGAAACTACAAATAGAACTAGATGTGCATGAGTTGCTGCCAGAATGAGGTGATTACAATGCGATTGAGAAATTGCCGAGTAATAACTTCGATCTCATCCATTCTTCCACTCTACGTGCTAATAATCTTTCTACAAATTGGTAAAGTTAGCTCTTCCCACGAGATTCAGACTCAGCAGGATTGGGACTGAAAATATCTCACACCAAATGTCCCAAGTGATATATGTGAAACGTTAGTTTCATGAAGTCAGAAATTTATCATCTCACTAAGTGCCAGAGTAACAACAACACTCACAAGATATGCCCGGAAAGCGCTTTGAATCCTGATGGCAGCCAAGTGTGGATCTCCTCTGTAACTGCGATGCTGCGATTGAGAAGCGCCGGTCAACCGGACCACCTCTGCTGCTGCATGGGCGGCTGCAACCGCTGCCTCGGCAGCAGCCGCCGTGGCCATGGCGACTGTCAGAGCATGCTTCCTCTGTTCCTCCATCGCTCGACTCAATTTCGGATGTGGTGCAGCAAGTTGAGGGCATTGGTTAAGCTTAAGCCCTCCAAACATCCACTCATATTTCCTTGACTTCTGCATTCAACACCCAAAATAAATGTATTTCCTCACAAAAGCTCTATTGAACAGGAAAAATTAGGGGTTTTAGGACAACCTTTTCTGCTTTTCCTTTTGAGTCAGGGACAAAGAGCCTCTTTATCCAGCTGAACCAACACATCTTCTTACCCATATAACATTCAGGAATAATCTATCTCAACTTCATGAAACGCTATTGACGATCAAGAAGCTTTCAAAAGAAACAAAAATCCATGCCTTCACACGAAGAATAATCACAATCCTGAGATGGAATTCAAAAGTCCCCACAAAACAAAAACTTAGTCCACAAAACAAAGATATCTCTTTCGTCCCATCAAAGCCCATCCTAGCCAAGTCCTAAGACATTAATACCAACATCACCAAAAGTACAGAAAAGGTCAAATAGTAGTGATTCCAGTACCCCAATTGAATTGTGCACGTATTAAGAGCTTCATCAAAGAACCGCGCAAGTGGTTAAACACTGCCACGGCATCTATGCCAGATAAAGACTGGGCAGTGACATGCGTTACTAAGGAAACTTGCCTCTTTATAGCATCAACCACATAAACCCAAAAAAAAAAAAAAAGAAGAAGAAAAGTACACAAACTTGACCTTAATTGCACGGCATGTATGTATACAGTCCTAACCCACCCCTAAAATGAAAAGAAGGAACCCAACATTCCCAGATAACATAGTGCACTGCTCGATACCTTAAAGAACTCATTGGACATCAGCACCAATTAGACGGGCATTTCTTGAAGCAATTTGGCA